GATGACGTCCTCAGCGGCCGGCTCAACCGCCTTCTTCGTCCTCTCCCTCCTCTCCATATGCGGCGCCGTCCTGCTGCTCCTCCGCTACTACCTCCCGCTCCGCACCACACCCGCATACGTCGTCGTACCCGTCTTCTTGGCAATAGCGCTGCCGGCCAGCATTGTTGTGCTCCTGCCGATCGATCTCGCGAGTAGTGCTGGGTTGGATACAACGGATGGCGCGAGGGGCATATGGCTGAATGACACGGTTGTGTACAAGGCATGGCGCATCATCTACTGGCTCACATTTGCGCTTACGTGGGCGATCCTGCCTATGCTGGGCGAGTACTGCGATAGTGGGTACAGAGAGCCCAAGGCAAGGTTGCAGTATGCGCTGAGGAGTAATGGGCGGTACTGGCTCATTGTCGCTGGGTGCAGTATCGTTGGCTCGATCTATTTGATCATCTGGAATGGTTTCGAGGCGGACACGTTCAAGAGTTTGGTCATGGCGCTGGCGTATACCTGGGGTCTTATACTGGGTATCTACCTTATGGGCCATGGACTCGTCGCATTCCCCAGGAGCCTGTTTCGCTACGCGAGTGTTAGTGAGAGGTTGAAGAGGATACAGAGTTCGGCGCCAAAGGTCCATGAGAGGTTGACTGAGGCGCTGGAGAAGTTGGACCAGTATGAATACCAGGTCGTGCAGCTCAAGCAGAGGAAGAATGGTACCGCGCGCGAGTTTCAAGAGTGGATTGACGAGCTGGCGGAGAAAGGCAATCTTCCGGAGAACAGGGCGGGTGTCGTTGGACGCATGGGCACGGCAACGGTGCCTCCAGTCATTACAGAAAGATACCTGGCGGACCTGACGAGGAAGTTGAAACGCGCGCGCCATGCGAAGTGTCGGTTCGAGAACGAGTGGGATCATGTTGTGCGGAGGGCAGTCAGGACACAGGCTATCCTCGACTCAAAAGCCAGCAAGCATCTCGAGTTCAAAGGTGCCGCGTTGCCAACCTCGAGAGGACTGTTCGATCGCATGACTATCCTCACACCACTCACGCGCTACTACCTACACGTCCATGTTATCCCTGCTCTGGCCTACGTCTCTTGGGCCATCACGATCCTCGCCTCCATCTCCATTGTCTGGTCAGAATGCGTACGCGAAGCCCAGGACTTCGGCGGGCCTAAACTATCTATTATCGGGTGGACAGTCGTACATCGCCACGACAACGGCCGGTCTTCGGTTGGATTCAACAGCCAGATTATTGCCGCCGCCTGGCTGTGCTACATGTGCATTTGCGCATTCTACAGTCTCACCGAGGTTAAGATCTGGGGCAATCGAGCGCTCGTACGAAGAAACACATACCAAGAGTCTGCGACCTGGTACGGTCTCCAAGTCGCCAAGTTGACGGTCCCGTTGAGCTACAACTTCCTCACCATGACCGACAAAAACATCTGGAAAGGCACCATGTTCTACAAATTCCTCGGCCGCCTCATCGTCCTCACACCCCTCGGCGAAGGCTTCAGCGCCTTCTTCCCCATCTTCATCCTCGTCCCCGTCTTCGCCACAGCCTTCGGCCTCTACGGCAAAGTAAAGAACATCTGTGGTTTTGGAGACCTCCTCGACGATGAAGAGGACTCAGCAGGAAACTACGCTGGCACCGGCTCGTGGCGCGAAGGCCGCGCATTGATCGAGCGTGAAATCCAGGGCGCAAGTGGAAACGTTCTAGGTCTTTCCCAACGCAGTACTACCAGCCCGCCAAACGAACGTTACACCGATAACCCTGCACCGTCGCCATCCTCCACCCTTCCCACATCCACTGCAGCTGCAGCGAACGGTGGCCCAAGCACAACACGCCCCGACCGCCGCCGCCCACAACTCAACGACGAAGAAGACGAAGGCAATTTTTTCGAAAACTTCGCGTCAAGAGTCAAGAATACATTCGAGACAAATGACTTTTCTTTCCCGCGGCCGAAGTGGCTGGGTGGCGATGACGATGAGGTTGAGGCTGGACGTAGTAGAAGGCAGTTAGATAGGGGCGAGGGGGAGCGCGGAAGTGGGTTCTTGAGCTTGTTTGGAGGCAGGGGTGATGAGGGGAGAGTGAGGTTGTAGACGTTTGTTTTAGGATATCAGTGTTGAGGATGATTTGGGGCTAGATGGGCATTGCGATGGCGTATTTCTTTGGTTTTGGGATAGATGATGGATTTGGGGCGGGTGTACGAGTATACAGGCTTTATGGGTTGCATAGCTTTAGACATTCTGTTCTGCGCTGTGGCGCTTGACGTATATTTAATAGGACATGCTGTTATCTTTTAGGGTGGGTGCCTTCCAAATGTTGATGCCATGGCACATACAATGAGTTCAAGTATCTCAAACGTAGTGGCGATTGGTTAGCCTGGTGTATCTCGCGTGGTTCACCGGTCGCGCTTTCCTTGGCTTCAGCCTGATGTAGCTGCCTAGACTCGCTGTGGGCCTGAGGCAACCAATCGACTAAAGCGACGTATGCACCTTCTCGACAGATGACCGGCACCTCTTCCTGCCTTCTTCTCTGACCGTGCTTCTCTAGCTGTACTTCTCTGGCCACGCCTCAAGTTCGGGTGATTTCAGGGGGGTATGGATTACAATGGTGGACATGGAGTGCCACGATCGATGAGGACCTCGGGTCGCAGTGACGACATTTACCACGATCTCGAGATTTGTGGTCCATGTCGTCTCATACCCTGGACAACCATTCTAAAAGATCCGACGGACACGGGTATGTATTGGCCTGAAATATCGACAAACTGGATCCTGTCGCAAAAGTCAACCTGTCGTATTTGCGACGTATTTGCAACAGTTTTCGAAGTGCAGAAGCTCTCCTGGGACAGACACTACCGTTTAAATCGATACATATACCCAGGTTTCAGTCAGCTTGCAACGTCTGCATTACCTACAATGGGCCCATCCCATGAGACGCGTATGCTATGTCTCCAGGATTCAATGGGCGCTTACGGGACGGCACCACATCTCGTAGTCACCAATTTCGAACCCAGAGATGCATCGACCGAGCAGCGTTACTCTCAAACAAGCAACATCGATATTGACCAAGTCAAAGCGTGGATCAATGACTGCGACACGAGGCACTACTCTGATTGTGCGGGGAACATGATCGGTGAGCTGCAACAGCTGCGTGTGATCGACTGTTATCAGGGAATTGTCGTTCCAGCGCCTGTGGGATGTTGCTATGTAGCGTTGTCCTATGTCTGGGGCCAACACAGAAGTGAACCCGACGAGCTGCAAAATCCTCCAAAGACCATTGCTGATAGTATCTATCTTACCCAAAAGCTAGGGTACAATTACCTCTGGATTGACAGATACGTATGTCACGACGACTGTCGTTTGCTGGCTGGCTTCGACAGCACTAACGAACATAGTGCATCAACCAATCCGATCGTACAGATAAGCACACGCAAGTGATGCAGATGGGTGACATCTACGCTGCAGCACAAATCACTCTGGTTGCTGCAGCGGGAATAGATCCTAGCTTTGGTTTACCTGGTGTTCTCTCAACAGCACGACTTGTACCGAAAGCTAGAAGAGTTGGAGACGTCTGGGTGAAGCCTCTGCCACGTCTTGTTCAGTTAGCAGAGGTATCCGAGTCGAAATGGGCATCGCGCGCATGGACCTTCCAGGAGTTCCATCGCTCACGGCGACGCTTGATCTTCACCGAACATCAAACAATCTTCGTGTGCAACAGTGGAATGAGATATGAAATAGCATTATCTAGCATTTCATGGGTTCCAAAAATTAGAGAAAGAGAACAAGACACTTATTGGGCTCAACAATGGCTACCTCAATGCGTCATGACAAGGGATTCGAGGCTTGATGAGACGATGATAGACCAGGCCGCTGGTTATCTAGAGGCGTACAGCAATCGGGATTTAAGTTACGATACCGATGCTTTGGACGCCATTGCAGGCGCGCTAGCACCTCTGAGAAGGGAAAATGCTCACCATGTCCATGGCGTGCCTTTCTCATACACCTTCGAAGGTCCGAGCAACTGTGCCTCAGCTCTACCGGCTAAGCTTCCTGGGATTCGTCCTCATACCGAAATACCTTTTTCGGCTGTAACTTCGAGTGGACAAGCCATCACCCCGAGCAGGGAAAGAGATATCAGAGGGCCTTCATATAGTTTACCAGAGACCGATCGAACACTGTCACAAAGCAGAATCTCCAAGACCAAGCGGCATATCAAAGTGGCATTTTCGTGGTATCATGACCATATATATCGACGCCGACCGGGTTTTCCCAGTTGGTCCTCCCTGGGGTGGGCAGGGCCTATCAAATGGCACCGGGAACACGCCAATGGGAAGCCTTCGGTAATCCTCACCGACGCTTGCCAAGCCATATTGCATTCACCAAATTCGACCTCTAGGATATCCGATCACAACTTAGGACAAGGTTATGGCATCGACACCGAACCACCAATCCTCGAACTTAAGATGGAGACAGTCCGCTTATACTTATGCTACAGTGGAGACACAAGTCGGGTAGCGATACAAATTGGTTCGGACTACAAATACATGTTTGAGGTCAGTTGGGATGCAAATCCTGATTTATACAAATCGCAGAGGCTCGTGGGTGCTTTGATCAGCCACATTGAACATGAACTTTTGCTCATGGTGCTTACTACACATGGTGAGCTCTACGAAAGAGTCGGTATTGTCAGGTTTCCTAGCCCTCGTTTCGGTTTGAATCATCAAGCTGACATTCGCCGCCACAATTTTGATCGTTTAAACTCACATTCTGAGTTGTTGACGGCGACAGACTTGTGTTATGATTGGCGCGGACACCTCTCGATCTCGCAGAGATTGTGGAAAAGCGCTGTCACAGACTACCGTTCCATCTTCATCCGGTAATCTATACTCATATGGTGGCCGTAGTCCCACTTTTACTGAAAAAGCTTCTACTGCTTCCAGTCCCAGACATCAAGCATGCGTAAATAGCCGATAGAAAAGTAGACAGCAAGTACCACTCTCCGCTCTTATACTCTGCATTTCCAACTCTTAGGCCTCTTATAATCACCCCCATCAAACGTATTCCTCGCCGGGTACTTGCAATGCCTCCTCGCAAAGTCGACTCCACTCTTTACAGTATCATTCACAAACTTCGTGCCCTCAATAAACTCCGGTGCAGCGCCCTTCTCCACCCAATCCACCATCGCCGCAAGAACATTGTGTTGCGCATCGAATGGGATACCAGCCTGCGCCGCATTCCCACCCTGACCCAACACCCACGCCCCTGGTCCTGTACTGCAATGAAACATACCGGAGACACGAAAGAAACGCGTCCATTCATCCATCTCCGCGTACGTGTTGTTACCACGGAGATGCTCGTAGAACCTGTTCGTATTGAAAGAAGTTATCTGGTTATCCTGCTGGCCGTGGTACATGAGTAACTTCCCGCCGCTTTCCTTGAAGCCAGGCAAAGAAGCAGGGTAGGTGCGGATGTCGCCTGGGTTGAGATCTTGTGCTGCTTGCGCGTCATCATAGCCGTATTCCGATGCGTTCCACGTTGGGTCGTTGTAGACGACGTATTTGAACCAGTCGTCTGAGTAGGCGAAGGGGGCGCCGGCGTAGAGTTTGTCGACGGCGTTGATTTCGCTGCCGGGTTGCATGGCCGGGTAAATTAGTTCGCCATTTGGGAAACGGTAGTCGCTGAAGATTTTCTGGAGTTGTTGCACTTGGTTGTAGTTTAGGCAGTTGGTTGTGTTTGTGATGTTGTGACCGCAGAGTAGGGTTGTAGGATCGAACTTGCATAGGGTCGGGTCCTCGATGATGCCGTCTTTGACTTTGTCGATGGTATCGCATTGGCGTAGCACCTCGTCGTGGATCCAAGTCTGCCATGCTGCCTTCGAGATGAAGTCTGAACCTTTGATGAGGCCGGTGATGGTGTAGAAGTGGGCGCGCCAGGAGATAAGGTTGTTGAAATCGACGCCTGGAGCGCCGGCAACGATGCCATCGAAGTCATTCGGGAATTTCTCTGCGCTCTTGATGCCCTGGCGTCCACCGAGAGAACAGCCCAGGTAGTAAGATTTGGTATGGCACTTTCCATAAAACTCCTTGGCCAATGCTTTGCCCGTTTCGACGCTTAGGTGAAGACTATATTGCCGGTGAGTATATGCGCCGTGAGTAGTAGAGACATTCTTACGATCGCCAGGCAAAGTCAACTACCATCTCGGGATTATTGAGGTAGGCTACTCCTGTAGTACCGTTATGACCATTATTTGCGCCAACGCTAGCGAAGCCATTTGACGCTCCATATGCGATATCCTCGAATTTGATGCCTGTGGTCAAAGTCAGCACTCGCTGCGCTTGACACGCCATCCTATCCATCAACACTTACAGCCATCAATGCCTCCATTCCCTGTTGCCAGGAAGCGACCGGACCAGTCCTCCGGGAACCATGCTTCGAAAGATATCTTCGATGTTCTGGTTGTCTTGATCTCTAGTGTTATACGACAAAGATCTACTGAGACGACCTGGCTAGCACGTCCGCAAGTCGCGTCGTTGTCAGGAAACGTCAAATTGGTCCCTGCCGGAACATGTTGGAGAACATTGCGGGTTGCGCCTTTGACGTGTAACTCGGGCTCGAATGCGAGACACCTCTTCCCAAATTCAGATGAAGCAGCGGCAAATCCAGTCAGCGCGAAGTGCGAGACAAGCAACACCAGTGATGTAGGAAACATATCGACGGGGAAGAAAGACTTGGCAACCGATCATCATGGGGTTTTAGCGACAAGCACTCTTTATACTCAGTGCAAATAGCACAGTAGACTTGACAAGCCACGTCCAGCAAGATGCGGGGTGCGAAATGCGGAGACCGGCACCCTATCCCGACATTCTTCAATGATTGTAGAAGTGAATGATCCACCTCGATCTTCTTAATTCTCTTGCAATCGTAGCATACGGGCCGACCGCAATGTCAATGGGACAATGAGTCGTGGATCTACTATTAGAGTTCCTTCTCGGGTGGTATGGCCAAGAATCTGCCCAGGTGGCATCGCAAACTCAAGGCATGTACGCCGTGTCACACCTGGCACCGGCCAGGAAACAGATTGGGGGCTTATGTCCGGACGCCTCACAGTCATTGTGCATATTTGACGGATAAATCGTGCGCAGGTGTCAGTTCAGTGGAGGAAGAAGAGACGAAGTAGTATTGCGGGGTTTCGGCGGTCGCGCCGAGCCCTGGGGGAGACATGTGACCTGGATGCCCTTCCGCGCTAGCTTGCATGCATCCGACAAGTGCGACGGACTTCCGAAGTCGACAACTCAGACACCTGCATCATCCCAGAAACTTCGGATGATGTCTGTTGAAGTCGACCCTTCTCGCCCTCCATACCGAGTATCTGCAGCGGCGCGCCCTACTCAATTACCGCCAACACGGCCGCCTTCCCTTCTACCTCGCGCCTGAAGTTCTCCAACGAACGTGCTCGTCGCTTCAGCTGCCAATGGTGATCTCTGACATGCTTCAAAGCTCATCTCATAGCAACGTGCAAAGGCTTAGTCTCATCTTGAGCTATTGCGACTCCGTATGCTCTCGTCTATCGCAAACTCATGCGTCATAGTAATCCTCCTCTCTTCATGGCGTCCCTGGATGAAGTCTTGCCAGGTGATCCCATCATTTTCATTAGCAGATCCGCACACTGTTGTCGTAGTCAAGCACAAGTCTTCTTCGGCTGGCCGAGTTCTACCCCAGCGTTCTGTCCAAGCGTTGATCGTCCTCGACCCAATCTCGCGACTCTCAGGGCCCTCCTGCTCCGGAGTATGGCTCGGTGTAACACCGAGTGCACCTGCCAAACAGCGCGTTATACGAATCAAAAGGGGGTGGAGCGTTGGAAGACATCCAGAGATGATGCCAATCGATGGCTCGACGGACGACCATATGAAGACATCGCTCTTTTTCCAGCTGACGTCTGGCGAGGCCATCAATCGGACGATCGTGATGATACGATAAAGCGAGGCGAAGCACACACTACGATGCTTAGAGACAATACGGTTTCCTTACTTCGGAGTGCTTACAAGCTGCCGAGCAGGAAGATAAAGCAGATCGCCACTTTCTCCATTCTTTTCATCTGCAATTTGACAACGTTGGATATGGGTATACAAAGTATACACACATCGCCGAAGAGATTGAAGATCCCAGCTCCAAGGTAGAACTGCGATCGTGTAAGCAGACAGCTTCATTCGGAATGGGGGGTACCTGCGGCGCACCTTTGCCTCATCGACGAGAATCTCTCCGTGAGCCCCATTCCATTGATCCCAGTAGAAGCTCAACGGTCGAGTGTACAATGGCAGAACGACATGGTTAGTGATCAAATAGGCTGCGGTCATGCCAACACAGAACCAACCAAGCCAGTTTATACCGAAGATACGTCGATACAAAGCGAGGATGGAGAGTTTGATGACACAGACACTCCACGCGTAGACAAATACGTATGCGAAGGTGATCTGTCAAACGTCAGTCCCGCAAGAGTATACCCAGGCATGTAAGCGCACGATAGTTATATGTCGCATTTGTTCTGGCCCTAGAGCCCAGATGTGTCTGCCCAAGCCATAGAAACCACCTTTTCATTGAGTTAGTAAGATCAAGACTTTGCCCAGCAACTGGCCACCAACCAACGATACAGCACGCCAGATTCCCCGCGTTCAATGCCAGTCCAGCAATGATTAAGTAGTCATCACACCCCAGCTGTTCCTGTTTCAACTTCAGACGAGTAAACAGCCTCAGTGCGACAAACACACCCGAAAGAACAAATAAGATGATTGCGACAACGCTGTTCCCAACTGTCCGGGACTCGCTGAGGTTAAGGCCCGGGGGTGGGTGGCCGAAGTCGAATGTCGCCATACCACCGGGTGTCTTGATAGCACCTCAGAAGACGGGAGTCAAGCCCGAAAGAGTGGTTGGATGGGGTAACCAGCACAGAAACGGGGCGTTTTGATCGAAGACGCGGTGTAGTTATCGTCGGCACAAATAAGGGTATCCCTTGTGACGTACAACGCACGGGTTTCTCATGCATAGATGCGCGATCGGTATTGCTCGTCATTGTCGTCGACATGTCCGGTAAAGATGCTCTGTCGTTCCTATTATGCAAGGTTGAGCTGTGCCACAAAGAATCGCATTGACCATGGTAAAAATTGATGAGATGACCATGACTTGGAATTGAGTTCGCACATCTTTACAACTACGCCACAAAATGCACATCGTCGAGCACCCCCGCCACGTGCCCCAATCCTTCATGCATGTAACCGCGAAAAGCGACAAAGTGACGCGATTTATCCGGCTATTGTTTCCAACATAGAGGTAGGGAGTACTACAGCATCGACACTGTCGTTAAAGCCATGAAAGCCATCAGCGATGGAGCATTTCCCAGTTGGCGCACATGACTGCTTGCATCACTTTTCTTCGTCATGCTGATGGCGCCGCTGTTGTCAATCACTTCTGTATGTAAGTCAGCACATTCCCATCTCGCATTGTACAAAAACAACTGACGACTTCCAATAGCGCCATTCTGCTGGAACACAACATCGTCTCCGCAGAGGCCCACCAATGTAGCATTACTCCTGAGTTGCTGCAGTTTGAGTTCCGCTTTCTCGAACTTTTGTTGTAACTTCTGTTTCTGCTCGTCGCTGAGAAAGTCCGTACCAGGTCCTCCATTGAAATCAGTCTGCCCGTTCGTCGAATTTGCCAGCCTTTCCAATGTCTGCAATGCCTTGCATTGAAGAGCTGTCTCGCGCTGCGCACTGATGATGTCGCATTCGGCAGTGAGAGTTGAGTTGGAAGTCAGCTCGTCGAGTTTGGCAGTGATGTCGCCACTGTTGCTCTTGATCCAGTCGATGCGTTGTTGGGCGAACTTGTCGCGCATGATCATCGTGTTCATGAGGGTCTCGTTATGTGCGATCTTGTTGAGCTGTGTCAACGTATGTAAGCGTCTACATGTCTTGTCAATGTCGGCATCTCTGGGGCTAATGATGGTGTCGCTGCCTCGCAGAGATTGGGTAGATGGATTGTTTGGCGAGTCCCTTGAGGCTACGAAGATCGCAAATAATGAAATGCTAAGGAATACGAGAAAACGCATTGTCGATCGGAAGTAGGTGATAAGAATGCCCAGACAAAAGTGAGAGGTGATAGCTGCCACATCAGCTTGGAGTCTTCATCGTAATCGGCTAGACCTGTCAATGTTTCAACCCTTCTCAGTTGCCGCAGAGCCGCAACGAAGATGTAGGTATGCGACGTTTCATGGCGAGTGTGCTCCGACGTTTCCAGTTACGATGAATAGCTCTACTGGCAGTTGCATGAATAAATTGGATTAGTTGATACAGTTCACTTGATGACAAGATATCTGTGTAGTGAGGAAACTTCGCTATGACCAGGAGATGTTGTTAGTTGCAGGAGTCATTCGTCGTCGATGCCTAGGTATGGCGGGGTGCTATCGATAAGCGGCTGAGTCACGCTAATGGCGGGGATCGGAGGAGTCAACTCTAGGCTCTAGAAAAAGATTCCCCGCCACGGCTCTGTCTCAGCATACTCACGCCGCCACCATGTCTATGAACTTTCCGAGCGAGGAGGAACGCATCCTCGCGCGCTGGAAGGAGATTGACGCCTTCCAGAGACAAGTCGAGCTAGTACGTGACTATGCTACAGCCTAGTGAACCCAAGCACGTGTGGTTGACACTTGCTAACTCGCCATAGTCGAAAGGAAAGCAACCATACACTTTCTACGATGGGCCGCCTTTCGCGACAGGAATGCCGCATTATGGCCATCTCCTGGCCTCGACTATCAAAGATATTATCCCACGCTACTGGTCCATGAAGGGCCGCTATGTCGAGCGACGGTTCGGCTGGGATACTCATGGTGTGCCCATTGAGTACGAGATCGACAAGGAATTGGGCATGTCGGGACGCGACGCTGTACGCGAAATCGGAATCGCCGAGTACAACAAGAAGTGCCGCGCGATTGTCATGCGATATGCGACTGAATGGAGGGCGACTATCGACCGTCTGGGTCGCTGGATCGACTTCGACAACGACTACAAGACTATGGACACCAGTTTCATGGAGTCGGAGTGGTGGGTCTTCAAGCGTCTCTTCGACAAGGGTGCCGTATACCGTGGTTACAAGGTCATGCCCTACAGCACAGCGTTGGCGACGCCTCTCAGCAACTTCGAGGCCTCACAAAACTACAAGGACGTTCAGGACCCAGCAGTAGTCGTCACTTTCCCGCTGCTCGACGACCCAAACACGTGTTTGTTGGCATGGTAAGCTACTTACTCCAACCCAGTGCTACTGGCGTGCGCTGACCAGCTCGAACAGGACCACCACGCCATGGACACTCCCATCCAACACCGGTCTCTGCGCGCATCCCGATTTCGAATACGTCAAGATCCTCGACGAAGCGTCCGGCAAACACTACATCCTGCTCGAAGCCCTGCTACGCACACTATACAAGGACCCGAAGAAGGCCAAGTTCAAGGTCGTGGAGAAGCTAAAGGGTAAGGACATGCTGGGCTGGAAGTACGAGCCCCTGTTCGACTACCTTTACGACGAGTTCAAGGACTACGGCTTCAAGGTGGCGAACGACACCTACGTCACAGCAGACAGTGGTGTGGGTATCGTTCATCAGGCCCCCGCATACGGAGAGGACGATTACCGCGTTGCAAAGGCCCACGGTGTCATCTCTGACACCCGACCGCCACCCAACCCAGTCGATGATCAGGGTCGTTTCACCGCGGTCGTCCGCGACTTCGAGGGCCAACACGTCAAGGCAGCAGATAAGGGCATCATCAAGCATCTGAAAGGAACCGGTCGCTTGATCGTAGACTCACAACTTCTCCATAGCTATCCCTTCTGCTGGAGGTCTGACACACCCTTGATCTACCGAACGGTCCCCTCATGGTTCATCAAGATTCAGGATATTGTGCCGCAAATGCTGGAGAACATTGCTGGTTCGCACTGGGTTCCTTCCTTCGTCAAGGAGAAGCGCTTCGCCAACTGGATCACCAACTCACCCGACTGGGCTGTTTCACGAAACCGTTTCTGGGGTACGCCACTTCCGATATGGGTCAGCGATGACGGCAAAGAGGTGGTCTGCATTGGTAGCGTGGAGGAGCTGAAGAAGCTCAGCGGATATGAGGGCGAGCTAACGGATATTCACCGGGATAAGATCGACCACATCACCATTCCCAGCAAAGACGGCAAAGGTGTGCTCCGGAGAACCGACGAGGTCTTTGACTGCTGGTTCGAGTCTGGTTCCATGCCCTACGCCAGTGCGCATTACCCATTCGAGAACGTGGAGCAATTCGAGAAGTCCTTCCCTGGTGACTTCATTGCCGAAGGTCTCGACCAAACTCGTGGCTGGTTCTACACACTCACCGTCCTTGGAACACATCTCTTCGGCAAGCTTCCTTTCAAGAACTGCGTCGTCAACGGTATCGTGCTTGCAGAAGATGGCAAAAAGATGTCAAAACGTCTCAAGAACTACCCTGACCCCAACCTGATCATGACCAACTATGGTTCTGATGCGCTGCGGTTATACCTCATCAATTCTCCCGTCGTTCGTGCCGAGACACTTCGATTCAAGGAAGCAGGTGTCAAGGAGATCGTTTCCAAGGTTCTTCTACCTCTCTGGAACAGCTACCAGTTCTTCGAACAACAAGTATCGCTGCTGAAGAAGGTCGAGAGTCTGGACTTCGTATTCGACCCAGCGGCTGGAAAGAGCAACAAGAACGTGCTCGATCGATGGATCCTTGCGTCAACCCAGTCGCTGCTAAAGTTCGTGAATGAGGAGATGGCTGCGTACAGGCTGTACACCGTGGTTCCGCGGTTATTGGAGCTCATTGACAACACAACAAACTGGTACATTCGCTTCAACCGTCGCCGGTTAAAGGGTGAGCACGGTCTGGAGGACACCAAACACGCCCTCAACACCCTCTTCGAAGTTCTCTACACACTCTGCCGCGGTCTCGCACCCTTCACACCATTCATCACAGACAACATCTACCTGCGGTTACTACCTCACATCCCCAAGGAACTGCACGCGGAAGATAACCGAAGTATCCACTTCCTTCCTTTCCCAGAAGTGCGCGAGGAGCTGTTTGACGAGGGTGTCGAGCGCCAAGTCAAGCGCATGCAGTCAGTCATTGAGCTTGGCCGTATCTGCCGTGACCGTGCCAACAAGGGTTTGAAGATTCCGCTGAAGACGCTGGTGGTCATCCACCCAGAACAACAATACCTTGACGACATTAAGTCGTTGGAGAACTACATCCTGGAGGAGCTGAACGTCCGCGAGATTGTGCTGTCTAGCGATGAGGAGAAGTACAGTGTCCAGTACTCAGCAACGGCCGACTTCTCAGTCCTTGGCAAGAAGCTGAAGAAGGACGCCATCAAGGTCAAGAAGGCGCTACCAAACCTCAAGAGCCAAGACATCAAGGACTACCTGAAGAATGGCGAGATCGTCGTGGACGGAATCAAGCTTGAGGCTGAGGATCTGATGGTCAAGCGCGGTCTCGCAAAGGACTCTAGCAACAAGGACCAGGAGTTCAACACAGACAACGATGTCCTCATTCTCCTCGACGTCGCCTCATATCCAGAGCTCGAGCAAGAAGGCCTCGCTCGTGAGGTCATCCGCCGTGTACAAGACCTGCGCAAGAAGGCCGGACTGGTGCCAACCGACGACGTAGGCATGGAGTACCGAGTGCTGAGCGATCCGGAAAGTGTAGGACTGGAGCAGGCGTTTGAGAACCAGGGCCCATTGTTCGAGAAGGCTTTGCGAAGACCTGTGGACAAGCACGTCATCACTGAGGTTGAGGGCAAGATCCCGGAGAACAGTAACGAGAAGGTTATTGCAGAAGAAGAGCAAGAGCTCCACAAGGCGACTTTCATGTTGCGGTTGATCAAGCTATAGTAGCTTCCTGGAGTGGTTCGATAGTATAGTGGCGCGCATGACTCGTTGATGAAATGAAATCAAAATTTCCATGTTTACAATTAACGCCTTCGTATGCTGTGTGATTCTATGATGAAGATGTGTCGTTACAAGTGCCGTCACCGCTGCTTATATGCCTTCTGTAACTGGGGTTAGTTGTCATGGCTTTTGATGCCGTGAGGAGACATTACCAGATAGCACTCCTTGAGCTTCATGAACTCGTTAACACACATGTCTTTCCGTACGTTGTTGTAGTCTGCGAAGATGCATTTGCCGTACACTGCGCTCTGGAGTATGTCAGCATCGAGTTGAACCTGGCTGTCACTGAGGGGCGTATCATACCTCTGTCGAGCATTTTGCAGCCGCTGTGGCGAGTTTATCGATGGGACGTGTTCGACCGGGCATCTCGAGTAGTACTGGGTATCCCTCTCGAATAGTATGAGCGGCAGTGTCATTAAGTGGTAGCTCCTCCAAGATATGTGAAGGTCTCGCCCTTCCACCTCGATGAGGTCAACGAACAGGGCCCACCCAACTAAAGCCTTGGCACCCTCGCATCCACGAACGCGGGCGGCCAACCACTCCAACAACAAAGCGCGTCGCTGCAACGCCAAAACGCGGGCGCACCAACAGCCCTTCATCGCTCCCCTCTTCTTACTTTGCATTTGTAATGCTTAATTGTTGCGCGACGAACCCACGAATTCCTCCTTGCATGCCGCTGCTTTCTGGTTGCTGTTCGAATCATTACAGCCGCCGGTCCCTTCCATGTTGTCGCGAACGCGCCGGAGACGAACGAGTCGCGTGCACGAATGCTATCCTCCATGAGGCTGAATGGAGATGACGCGAGGGCTATAACAGCTGATGATCTTTGTCGAGATGAAGGTAAAATAATCGAAAGAAGAATTGGTTAATAAACATACTGACACAGCAGTAGTCTCCGATGCCATTCACAA